CTGCAGAATAAGAATTAGAAAGTAATTGCCCAACTGAACTAAAGAACTTCTATCCTTTAAGTAAGAGCAAAACCATTTGAGAGCATTTCCCCGAATGCCTAACCATTGACTTAATCAATTTAAAAGGATGTCATGATCAATCGTGTCAAATGCAGTCAAGAAGAATCAAAATGGCACCCTTTCCTGAATCGCCAGCAAGCATTAAGTCATTGTGTACTTTTAAAAGGGCAGTCTCTGTACTATATTTTGATCTAAAACCAGACGGAAATTTATCCAAAACTGAATTTTTATTTAAGAATGAGATGAGCTGATGATAAACAGTCTTCTCTAATACGGAGCTTAGAAATGGCGCGATAGTTATTTAAAACAGATCCATTCTAGGCTTTTTCAAAAGAGGTTGTATTATAGCATGTTTTAGGCAAGATGGAACTATACCATTTACTAGGCTACTATTAATAATACTAACAATGTTTGGGCCTACAACATCTAAAACTTGAAGAAGAAGATGAGAGTGAATTACATTTAATGCACAATTTGTAGGTTTTGAATGCTGGACTATATTTACTAAATTAGAAAGTGAAATTGGCTCAAAGTCCGAGAAGAATTTGTTGTTGGATGTAAGAATGAACATAGCAGTCGCCATTTACTGCCGACATCAGAGCCACTGAAGACACAGTGGATTACTTGTGTTTTTGAAGGGAATGCACCCCCAATCTACCTAAATGCGTATATGTTTGTGCGAATCATTCGTGATCCAGCCTCACCGACAGAAGAAGTGAGTATACGTTTTTTTATGAATCTTAGCAAATAGCCTTTCCAAAATGTGCTAGTTAGCAAGTTTCACGATGAATGCAGCTAAAGTTAACAGTCTTCTTCTTCTTCTTCTTTGTTTTATTGGTGGTCGGCATCCAACGATAAGGTGCATTACCGCCACCTACGATACTGGAGTGTGGGCCTGAGTCAACTACCACCAAGATAAATTTAAAAAACTCTTAAATTCTGTTAATTAAGCCAGTTCTTCTCATGTAATTTATTAAACTTTCATTATTCTAACCATTAAGTATGTCTTGAATGCTAACGTTAGAATTTTAATTGGGTAGAAATTGTTTCCTAATTTCTTTCTTTAATATTTCTCTTTCTGTGATGTACTTTTGGCAGTGACATAGAATGTGTTCCACTGATTCCTCATCCTGACAATGATCACATAAGCCAGTCGGATGTTTCCCTATTAGATATAATGTTTTATTTAACACTGTGTGTCCCATTCTCAATCGTGTAATTATACCTTCTGTTTTGCTATTTCCTTTACATACCCTCCTACTTCTTACTTTCTCCTGGATTCTATAGTAATGTCTGCCTGTTACTTCCCTATCCCAGTTACATTGCCATTCCAATAAACTTTTCCTAAAGAATCATATCAACTTGTGGAAAATGGGCATCCAATGACCCCTTTAAGGGGGGAGCTCTCAAAGCACTATAAAGTGCTTTTGATAGAACATTCAACAAAGCAATAAGAAGTTAAACATATTTTAGTAATGGTGTGTGAGTACAGTAAAAAGTACTGTTTTTACAGTGGAGTAAAAGTACCGATACATCACTTAAAATGCACTCAAGTAAAAGTAAAAGTACACAATTTTGAAACTACTCAAAAAAGTACAATTACTGACAAAAACGTCTCAGGTTACTTATGTAACCATGGTTCCCTGAGGGGAACGAGACACTGCGTCCTCTAGGGGTCGCTATGGGGAACGCCTCGTCGTGACCCGTGTCTGAAGCCTACATTAAAAAAACACCAACTTGTTTGGCCGGCGACAGCCATGACGTCACTACCGTCGCAACTAGTACAAAATAGGCGCCGGTAGCGCACATCATCACTTCTTCGTCTGAAGCTTGTGTCCGCAGCATGGCACAAAAACTAGAGGACGCAGTGTCTCGTTCCCCTCAGGGAACCATGGTTACATAAGTAACCCAAGACGTTCCCTTTCGTGGAACTTCGAACTGCATCCTCTAGGGGTCGCTATGGGGAACGGTATACCCACGCCGCCATGCTGAGGGGAGTGCAAGCCAGAACCATGGCGAGCCACTAAGTACCAACTACACCATATCGCTATGGGAGTTGCCCCTGTCCTGGACTTAGACGGCTGTCAGTGACATTACTCCCTACGGCCAGAAGCCTAGGCTGCCAAGGCACATTACTAGAGCCTCACAGTGTGCAGGTCCCACTGGACAAGATTGGTAGTAGAACCCAGGCTACCAATGGTCTACCACGGGAATCAGTCTCTCGAGATTGACCTCTGGTGTAATGAGGGACGGCAGGGGCCACCGTACCAGCTGTGCCAAAAAAATCCTCCTCGGAGGTGGTGCCAGGGCCTAGAATCATGAAGGATTCCTTCCAGGGAATACGACCAAGAGCCTTTTTTACTTATTGGATCAATTACTAGTCTTGGCCTGTCACTCAATTTCAGCGAAAAGCTCTCACAGTGCACGCAGATTGCCCCCTCGAGGACATCGCGTGCGTGCTCCTCGCCCAAACAAACAACGCATAGATCGTGTGAATCATCGGGTGTCAGAAACCGCTGACACGGATGTACACACTTTCTAAACGCTCCGCTAGTGCTCGCCATAGTAGGAAAAGAAAAGGCTCTTACTTTGCTTTTGGAATGCACGCTTCAAACAGAACGGTCAGTGAAGACGAAGAAAGTGATGATGTGCACTACCGGCACCTATTTTGTACTAGTTGCGACGGTAGTGACGTCATGGCTGTCGCCGGCCAAACAAGTTGGTGTTTTTTCAATGTAGGCTTCAGACACAGGTCACGACGAGGCATTCCCCATAGCGACCCCTAGAGGACGCAGTTCGAAGTTCCACGAAAGGGAACTGAATTACTGTAATGTGAGTATTTGTAATTCGTTACTTCATACCCCTGTCTTTTAGTGTATACAAAGCGCAATTACCCCTGATGACAGAAACAAAATAGAAATCTACATTACATTTTCAAATGTACTACAAAAATAATACAAAAACAAGCACAGCTTTTCCGGCTTATAATTTATTTCCAATAAATTAACGATTACTTTTATGTTCACAAGTTAACGTGTTTGTATATCAACATAAATATGTCTACACAATACAATATATAAATAGTTTTATTTTATGTGTTGAGCTGAGGGTGGTAAAATGTCAATAATAAAAGTTTAATTATTGAGCAAGAACTCTGTAACACATTAAAAACAACTCAAAGTTAGCCCTTTACTCATCTCTTAACTCATTCCAAACCTGTATAACTTTCTTTCTTCTGTGGAACTAAATAAATAAATCTGAGAAAATTCTGAGAAATGTCTTATTGTCTTTTAGTCCATAAAATGAATGTCAGTGGTAACGAAAATACGGTTACCAACATGCTTCAAATGATCTTCTGTGTTCTGCAAAAGGAAAATAAAATGCCATACAGGTTTGAAAGTACAAAATTTTACTTTTTGGGTGAACTATCTCTTATAGATTTGTGATACACTGAATGGGGGAAATCTACAATTTTAAACATCTTTGACGGAGACACAAAAGCTGATTCAAGCTATTGCTGCAGCTGAACAGTCCTCTGGGCACTGGAGTTTCCAATACAATGTTGTGATGTTTTGTAACAGGCACACTCTATTGATTTGATGAACATTTGTGACAGAATAAATGCATCTGCTATCATTTTAACAAATTGTCTATACAATTGTAAGGTTGTTATTGTGAAAACTACTAGTTTTAGTAGTTATATACAGTTTAGCAGTTTAACAGATTCATCCTCAGCACTAATCACCGACAGAGAAATATGTCACTTAAGAAGTGCTCTCTGACACATTACCTGACAGATTAAAGTAACACTGCTACTTGATAACTAGTTTTCAAGGTGTTCACTTGAGAAAGCACAAAGATGATTAATTTCTATTTTGTTATGACACCTCACATATAATAAACTTTCTCCAGTTACTTACATTTTGTGTCCGATTAAGATCACTCAGAAGGAAACAATACAAAACTACGTTAATGTTTTACTTTCACTCAGTTCCTATTTGTGTACTGCTCGCCAGCTAAACTTTTCAGGAAGAGCCCAAAGTGTTTTAATAAATAAACTTACTCTGATATTGACATTACGACTGCACATCGGTCAAAATGCTCTTGAGTGAACTATCATGAAAATATGTCTGTATGTAGACCAGGGGAAATAGTAGTATTAGTTAGCGTTTATAATGTTTAAGTATTTTCTATCATTTCGAAAAAGGTTTCAACCAGGTATTGTATGTTTCATAACACTAGATGGCAGTAAATTATAAGATTAAAATAAACATATTTTAAATAGATTTTTCTTAATGTAAAAAATACCGACAGCTTCACTTGTATTTTTAGAAGCATTGATGAGAGACTGCATGAGGTTCATATTTGAGTGTATGTTTATAGTATTGTGATTCTGATGGGAATCTACAAGAACTGACAAAGACATTTTTATTTGAAAAAGATTAATAAAGTTTAATATTTTAAAAGATTAATAAATGAAACACTGTGAGTGAGAATGTATACAACCCATGACCTGAACTTTATCATTAGTCCAAACCTGTTTTCACCCTGGACACTGATCAGTGTAAAAACAAACAAGAAAAGTTCACCTCAGCAAATAGAAATCGGAAATGTTTGCTACCTAGCAGCATGCTGCTAAGCAATGTCAACACATTACAAAAACTAAAACTATTTTCTGATGTTTTCTAATACACAAAAATAAGACAATCCCCAAGCTTTCTCAAAGATTCAAAAACACCAGGCTATATCAAAAACTAGACACATCATACCACCTATAAAAGAACAATGAAGCGTGTGTCTTTCCATGTAGTCATGCATGGGCAGACTCTGCAGGACACTGTTGAGTCTAGGTAACAAATGTTCGTTTCTCTCTCCCAGTCTCCCCGTCTCAAGTGACACACAAATAAAAACAAACACATATCAGCATTCCTGGGCCTCGCTCAGTACTCAATTTCATTAAAATTTTCAGAAAATCCTGAGTATGCGATGCTGTCTCCAGGATCTAGAGAAAGAGAGAAAAAGAGAGTTATAAAACGTATAAGCACATGTACAAATACATCCCCTGTGTCTTACAGGGTGCCATATTACTGCTGCCTCAGTAGACACATTCAGATAACTATAGTAACAGTATGTGATCCGTCCACAGACACATCCCAGTGAGAACTGCAGTAAAGAAAGCACCTGCTCCCCCCACCTGCTGTTACTGCACTGCAGCCACCTGACCTCACACAACCTACTGCAATACATCACATAAAAGAATGAGGACGACGCATGGTACTTCCTGTTCAACCTTTCCCAACCTTCCTGTTCAACATTCCCATGATATATATATATATCACGTGGTCCAACCAATTTGCAGAAACAGATGGGAAAAGATGGAAGGAGGGTCCCTGCAGACCTTCAAAATTCAGACAGTGAATGTTTCTTATAGCTCCTCTATGATAAAACCACTGCTCTTTGAGTGTGAGTTTTAGTATAGTGTTTAACTGATTTTTATTTCAGTTTCGTTTTAGTGATTTTAGTACTTAGAACTTCAGTTAAAACTTGTTTTATTTCATTTAGTTGCAAAGTCAAAAATTTAAAAAATTTATATTTTATTTAAGGTTTTTATAAATTAGCAAAAGCATTTATTTATATATATATATATATATAGTTTTAGTTAGATCATATTTATACATTCAGATCATAAACTTCCGTCATCTTACGTATCCAGGAATTTGCTTCTCTCAAAAAAATAAATAAATAAATAAATCATATGTTCTTTATCAACATTCATTTATATTTTACTTTTAGGACTATATTATCACTATACTCCCCTGATAATATAGTCCTAAAAGTAAAATACAAGTTAATATTTGTATGTGCATACAGATAGTGGCCCATTTCAATAGTTTATGTAGTTTGATTGTTTACTTTCGGTGAAGCAGCCATGAAACTTCATGTGAAGAATTTCAAAGATTTCTGTGATACAAGCCTCCATTGTACTAAAAATACACACAGTGTTTCCATATGGCACTTGACTTGGCAGTAGTCAAAAAGGATTTCCAAAATGCCTTTTGAAATCATTTCTGCTTTTAAATTCAGACATGTGGATGTGGACAGGTCACATGATACTGGTGTTTGTTAAAAACAGCAAGTGATTCAGCCAGGAATTGGCTGGTGGGAGCAAAATGCCAATAAAGCACCCTGTAATAAACTTACATCACCATGTGACACAATTACCATCTGAATACGGCTTTTTCTCATTGTCAAAAGGGCAGAAGTACCTGCAGCAACCCGACAGTCACCAAGGGTCACTGAGATGTCATCGAGAGACACAAGCCCACAGTCCCAGAAGTTTCTGCAGATGCTGACAAATGCTACCTTAAAGGGAAGTTAAGATAAAAAAGTCCATAATGACAAATAGTTAAAATAGGGAAGAACATGGTCTCTAGTATGTTATAATTTTACCCAAAAACAAAACAATAAGGTTTATTAAACATTAATTAAAAGTTATTTTAAAAGACAATACAAATAACCCATGTAATTTGTCCTCAACATTTACAGTACAGACCTTAGTTTAAAACTCTTTGATTTTTTTGTGGTTTTTCTCATATATGACTTTGACATTTTGAGAAGGCACAAAATATTCGACAAATGGAAATGCTGTTAATGGGGTTTTGATGTGGTTTGCCTGTAGACAGACACTCCCTTCAAAAGAGTCTTGCGCTTCACTTATTATCCCTGAGATTACAAAAGGAATTCACACACGGGGTGACCCAAAGTTCAATAAAAGATTTGTTACGGCTTATCATTTGGAAATGACAAGAAAATACTTTACTAAAACAAAAAAGGATTAAAACTGAATTTGTGCTTATCATTCAGGACAATATCCTTCTATCACCTATAATCTGAAGAACACTTAAACCTTCATGTTGTAACTGTATTCTATTTGAATATATTTTAAATATAAAAATATATTTATTATATTAATTATATTTATATACTTAATATTTAAATATAAACGTATTTTAAATACTGTATTTAATATATTTTTTAATGATTTTTTTGCTGAGATGGCAAAGGTGAATTTTCTGCAACCATTACTCCAGTCTTCAGTGTAACATGATCCTTCAGAAATCACTCTAATTTGATGATTTGATGTTCAAAAAACATTTATTATCAATGTTAAAAAAACAGTTCTGCCGATTAATATTTTTGTGGAAATCATGATATTTTTTCAGGATTCTTTGATAAACAGAAAGTTCCAAAGAACAGCATGTATTTGAAATATTGTGTATAAATATAAAAGTCTTTACTGACATGTTTGATCAATTTAATGCATCCTTGCTGAATAAAAGTACTAATTTATTTATTTATTTTAAATCTTCCTGACCCCAAACTTTTAAAGGGTGGTGTACACAAAAATAAAGTCATAAAAAACAATGTTACTCTACTGGATAGTGAAATAAATTAATATTAGCCATTATCATGCGCACAACCCAGTCTTGAAGAAACTCATATTTAACAACAATCCATTAATTTTACACTTACCTTAGTAGGCATGGGCTTTAGGTATGTGACTTCCACCTCTGTCCAAACATCTTTAGACCTCTCAGACACGGTCCAGATTTTCTCCTGAGCTATGTTGTTTTCATCATAGACATAGAGAGCCAGAGCATTATCTATTTTCATGAAGCCATGCAGGGCATAGTAGAACCTGAGGCAGTATTTATGGTTCCCTGGTAGGGACGGTCCAAAAAGACGACCCACATACCCTGGACGAGAGGTATGACGAGTGTTGGCCAAGAGAAAAGACCCTGGGAATGTAATGGACATGAAAGATTTATAAATCATAAATAATCAGTGAAATAAATTATCATTTTATGAATGTTATCTTATTTTGTAACTTTTTTGTTCCTTAAGTTTTCCTCTTTTATCATATTAAAGGAATAGTTAACTCAAAAATTAAAAGTTGCTGAAAATTTTGTCATCCTCATGTATATGAATTTGTTTCTTCTTCAGAACAGATTTGGAGAAATTAAGCTTGCTCAGTAATGGATCATCTGCAGTGTATGGGTACCGTCAGAATAACAGCCCAAACAGCTGATAAAAACATCACAATAATCCACAAGTAATTCACATGATTCTAGTCCATCAATTAATGTCTTGTGAAGTGAAAAGCTGCCTGTTTGTAATAAACAGATCCACCATTCAGGAGTTTTAACTTTAAACCATCACTTCCTGTCATAATCCAACAATCCATAATCCATAATAATGCTTTCTTCAGTGAAATGGAATAATGTGGATTATTGTGATGCTTTTATCAGTTGTTAAAACTCTGACAGCACCCATTCACAGCCGGGGATCCACTGGTGAGCAAGTGATGTAATGCAAAATTTCTCAGAATCTGTTCTGCTAAAAAAAAAAAAAAACTCATCTACATTTTTTTAATCAAATGAGTACATCTTGATTTTTGGGTAAACTATTCATTTAATAGTTTTTCACTATGAATACTGATTTAATTAAAATTAAATATACATTAAGTAGGAAATTGTAGGAATCTCACTGATTAAAGCAGCTCCATAACATTGAACTTTATTGAGTCAAATGCACATAAAAATATCATATATACTATATGATGTAAATGTATGATATTTACATTAATTAATTAATTTATAAAAAAAAGAGTCTAAAAGTATCATTAAAAATTTCTTCATCAAGCTTGTACACATTTGTTTAAGTCAGATTCCACAAATTTGGTGAATTGATGAAAAGAATAGTCTCACTTCGCACCAGTGCCTGTAGTGTGATCCCCGATGCGGTAAACATTTGGTTTCACAGAGACCCTGTTCCACACTGAACCTCCAGTCTGTTCCTGATAATACTGACACAGGCCCTCCTCAAAGTTACAGTTTGCCACAGAGGGGTCAAACGCTGGCTCTGGAACATGAGGCACATGAAGTTAACTCACATCATGAACATCTCCCACATAGGCAGACTTTCTGTAAAATGTAACTGATGACTAAATGGAATGTCAGTGTGGTTGCTACATAACAGGACAACAACAAGAAAATTCCCCTTTAAACAGCAATTTTGGGCTTTTTTGGGTTGTTGAATATAATGCTGAAGGCCCCTCTTAGAAAAATGACTTTTTTTTGTCCCAAAGTATATTATGTTGGAAAATACATTTCTTGTTATCAAATATTGGTGGAGCAACATAATTTGATCACAGGAAAATATAACGTCTCGGTTACATATGTTGACACTGACATTTGGGGTTTCCCTTGGGAGCCCAAGTCACATCTGAGTAGTAAAAACAGGTCAATGAGACATTGCTATATAAGGAGGTGGTGTGCATCCACTCATTATGCAAGAACAGTAATGGTATACACAATGATCTGAAGGATATGTGTATTCAATCAAAGAAAGGTTTTCCTATGAATTAATTAGAGAACAGTCCATTTCTCTGGGCATTATGTGTCTTTCTTATGAGGAAAATGAGGGAGTTTGTCTGCCTGCATTCCTTTAGGCCATAAAACCAGTGATATCAGCATTGGTTACCATGGAACCAGAGGCCTGTTCTGCCTTTCTGAGGTGTTAGGTGCATTTCGGGGGAAGGGTCCATAGACCCTCGTAATTGGCCATTTGGTTAGGTGACGGGGAGTTCGATATTATTTGTTAAATATAACAAAAAGTTGTGTGTCTGATTGGTCCAAATGCTACAGGTTTGTGCTGCATAATGTCTCCGTTTCCTCCTTCAGGGAAACAGCTTTACATATGTAACCGAGACGTTCCCTTTCAGTCTGTTGCTTTCAGTGTTATTAATGTTTGGGCTCCATATGGAAAGCGCCACAACCACTGAAATGTGTTACGAGATCTGGTGATGCGGATGTTGGCAGGTACAAGCGTGCCAAGTAACAGCAGGCATTCCACATCATAACCTACCCAGCGCCCTGTTGTGAGCCAGAGGAACTTTCGTTTGGTTGGGATCGCAAAAAGCAGAACTCACAACAAGGAGGGCCACAGCCGCTGTTCCTTTTTCCAACAGGAAAGAGAAATTCCACTCTTTCACAATAGTTGTGAAAGAGCTGTTGGTAAAGTCGCGGCCAGATTTATTACACTGAGGAAGCATACCAAAGTCCATGCGGCGAGGGACACACAAGGGATCACCCGAAGGGAATCACTACATGTGGGGCACTGAGCTCAATACAGGGGCTGACCAACAGGAATACAACACAATTACTAAACCTGGCCAGCAGCACTGCCAACAACTCTAGGCAGTTGATGTGCCACTGGAGTCAAGGTCCTGTCCAGGAGCCCAAGGCTGCACGCTGATTGCACAGAGCGCCCCAGCCTGTTCTGGAGGCATCTTTTGTAATGACAGCATGCCTGGACACTTGTTCTAAGGGCACTCCCGCCCGTAGAAAAGGAAGGCCCGACCAAGGGCTGAAAGTCTGGCATCAACCCAGTGTGACATGAACGCAGAGAGCGCCACAGTGCCATGCCCATCTCAGGACTTGGGCCATGTAGCCAGTGCTGAAGCGGTCTCATATTCATCAATCCAAGCAGCGTCACCGCGGCTGCGGATGTCATGTCCCTCAGGAGCCTTTGAAATTTTTTTAGTGGAACCACTGTTTTCCTTTGAATAAGTTCAGGCAGTTCAGCACTGACTTATTAGTGAGCTTGGCTGTCACAAGTCCAACAAGTAGAGCTTGCTCTTTTCCCAGTTGACCTGAAGCCCCAACTGGCTGAGGTACTGGAGCATCAGGTCCCTATGTTCGTGCAACAGATTCCAAGAGTGAGCTAGAATGAGCCAGTTGAGGATGCCCACCTCCCTTAATGGTGCAAGGGCACCCTCTGGCTGCCACTGAGGTAAAGAAGACACTGTTGAACCTAGGGGGAAGGCTGGTGAACTGAATTGCATAGCAGAGTCTGATTGTTTGAATGAGCCATGCTCCCAGACTCCGTACGAGTGGCACCAAAGGGACAACCGACGCACCCACGTAGGGGCAGAGATGGGGAGCAGTGGGACCAAACCCCGAAGGCAGAGCGTCCCGGAACAGGGGTTGAGTGTGGACTGTGGAGTAGGACTCACCCAGCACCTGAAGGGTGAAAGGCTGGCTAGAGATACGTTAGAGGAAGCAACGCCTCCTCTAAACAAAACCTCTTGGCCTGTGGTGAAAGGGAAGGACAAAGCTGGGAGTGAGGAAGCAGCGTGTCGCTCACTGCCAGACTGCGTTGTGAATGACCAGAGATTGGGTTAACTGCTCTTTCATTGATCATTTTGGTACCAGGAAACATAAATTCAGCAAAAGATTCTATGCCTGGCCCTCCTCTGGGGAAAGGAGCAGTGCCGTCACCACCTCCTGGGAAAGAGCAGTCCCCTCCATCTCTGGGTTGCCCATGCCAGGGCCGCTTCTCTGCCTGCTTGGAGGGCTTAGGGGCCACCTGGGGCATGGGCCTGTGGAAGCTTGACGTTACAAGCTGAGGTGTAATAGCAGCCTGCACTGGAGCAGATGTAGACACCAAAGGGGATGCCTTTGATGATGAGCAGACTGGAGGCCAGCCCCGTGGTGACATGGTGGCAGCAGTATCACGCCGGGGCAAGATAGGCTTGATGGCCTCCTTCTGCTTCTGGACTGCCAAGAACTGCTGGGAAAAGTCCTCAACAGTGTCGCTGAAACGGCCAGCCTGCGAGATGGGGGCGTCAAGAAAGCGAGCCTTGTCATCTCAGCAAGGCTGAGCCAGAGATGTCCTCCAAGAAGGAGGAAGCTCAGCCGAGTCGACGTCCTCTGAATCGCCTGATCCCTGATGCCTCAATCGACATTTGATCCTCCTCCGGAGGATGTAAATGAGATTGTACAAATTCATACGAATTAGCCACAAATTGGCCAAAGCATAAAATAGATACGAATTGTCAATGTGTTCCAAATGACCTCAAAATCAATCTAAATATTTCATGTAATAACATCACAGATCAGGAATTTGCCATCTATATCAATAAACACATTTAAGAATGATGCCGTGAGAAAAAATACTATCAAAAAGTCCTTTTACTCTGAGGATTCTTTATCCCAATTGTGCTCGAATAATTGAACAGCACAGATTTTTTGAATCTTCACAGCCTAATAAGAATGGTAGAGAATTACTTAAACAAGAGAAACAGAAGTACAGAATACAGTGTGTTTCCAGTGTCCCGATTAAAAAGACATGTCTACAAAAGAGTTAACATATGTTCACAAAGTTACAGTGCCTGTTGAAAAGAAACCATAAAACTTACTTGTGGTTTTCAAGCTCTGTAAACAGCTGTATTGTGTTATTTGGGATTATGCACAGTTGCATAAATCGTTTTAGTGCTTATTATGTAACAGAACCGCACTGACCTGTCTCTGTGTGGCAAAATTCTGGGGAGAAAGAAATGTCATCCAAAGCGACATAGCCACCACGAGGACTGTTGAACGCCACCTCAAACACCATCTAGCAAACCAAATACACCAATCAATCTAAATTAGATACATGAAGTGCCCAACATGAAGGGAACAATACTGCACAAATTAATTAATTCATTTGGAAAACCAAAATGTTTAAAATGGATTTAGTTTGTAAGCATAAAAGTAATACAAAAACACTTTAAGGTTCAAAGGAATTAGTAACACTTCAGACAGTGAACTCATCTGCTGGAGAGAATCTCCAGACTCCACACACACTCCTACTCTCATTATTTACATTGTCTCCCAGAGTTGGCTGCTCACACTCAAACATGGCAGCCACAGAGCTAGCTCTTCACTTTATGTTTATACTATTCCTACAGATGCAAAATAAACACTCTTTTCTCTGCAGAACAGAGACTATGTTATGTATAGCTCTTTGAACTACATTTGCAAATTACTAAAGATATCTCTTACCATTGTTAGTTCATAATCAGAGCAGTTTAGATCAAATTTATAAGGTCAGTTTTCAAAAGAACTATCCATACTTGATTTAGTTACAACAAATGTGTACAGTTTTCTCTACTCATTGAGGATTTTGCTAATTGCAAAAAACAACATGGCCTAATAGCTGTCATTTCTCATTAACACCATAAATTTCATGACATATCATGAAAATCTGACTTTTCCAGGTTTTAAGTGCTATAATCAGGTCTCCGGTGCATCTACCAACCAAGGAAACGTAAAAAAGTTCAACCCAGTAACTTTGTTTTGGTAAGCCTTTTTCTGAAAGCGTCTGAGAAAAGGAGCGCGTCTGATTTCGCTCCCTTGGTGACGTTGCAAAGGAATCTCATTATAATATTACCGCCCCTTAATCTGTAAGTTTCCACCCATGATGCCGTCACTTTGATTTTGCAAGCGACAACGGTGTAACAGTTCTAATGCCATGGCCAAAGTTTTAGCAAAACATGCTAACTGTTCTGTCTTTGGCACACTATTTAGAGTCCCAGCCTCAGAGACAGTGCAGTGGATTTATTTATTTATTTAATGTATATTGCTGCTGCCACACAGATCTAAAATAAACATGTGATTTATTTCTCAGCAGTTTACCTCCACAGACATAACCGACTGTTTTTGTAACTCGTGTGTGTTTTTAACGTTAACTTGTGTGTGAATGAGAACTTAGTTTAGTACTCCCATGCTGTGACAGCCACTTTCTGCACGTGTGCTTCGGATGTGTGCGCTCAGAAAACCGTATATCAGAAGTTTAAACTCATATGGTTTAAAACGCATGATTTCAGAACGATAAACATTATAATCAGAACCAAACAGATGTTCTTAGCAGGTACGAGCTGTAATGGCACAGCTCTATTTTGGAAAAGGGGGCGGGGAGTAGCAGCTAATTTGCATTTAAAGAGAAAGGCCTGAAAAACTGTGTTTCTGCTTCCACTCAAAATAGGCATTTTCAAAATGTTAAAATAAATGATCTGTGGAGTATTTTGAGCTGAAACTTCACAGACACATTATGGGGACACCAGAGACTTATATTACATATTGTAAAAAGGGGCATAATATGTCTCCTTTAACATATACATAATATTATATAT